CTAACATCTATGGAAGCCAAATATCTATCTTCGGATTTTAAAAGTTATTCGCCTGCATTGGAAGAGTATCAACTATTCTTAACCTTACAAGAGAGTTCTATCAGCAAAATAATAATCCGATCAAACATTGTTACCTGAAAAACTTTTTCAAATTTTTTCGAATGCTATCATAAATGAATAGGTTTCACATATTAATAATGCTAGCCATATAACTCGTGATGAAAAAGATGAGAATTTGATAGTATGTCGCAATTACATTTACGAAATAATTCTTTTGATTTTCTTTCAGTCCAATTAAATAACCTATCTAACAACATAATGTAATATCGAATGATTTATATAATCATTCGTGGCTTTCAGGATTGAGCTAAGAGAAACTCATAGAGCCGACGCGTTTACTTGTATATTTTGATAGAGCTTAAAATTCTATATCACCCTATCTATTTACTTATTTTCTTGCATGTACAGATTAGAAAGAAAATTTCAATTCATTGAAAACATCCTTAATTGACAAGTACCAAAAATCGTCACGGTTTGCTTTTTCCAAAATTGAATCATTATAAAAATATAGATTCTGATAGAGCTTGAAACTCTTTCAACCCATATATTTTTGTCTTTCCTTGCATTTCTTTATCTCTTTCTTATTTTTCATTATCATAATAACTTTTGTTCTCATGAAAACAATGATAAGTAGATCTATAGTAGAGATAACCAATTCTCTATTATCTATATATCAATGACTAAATTTCAAATACATCAAGTTTTCCAATAAATGTCGATCAAAATTACGAATATTCTATTTAAAGCTTTTGTCATCGACGAGTAAGCGACATATCACACAACTGTTGTTAAACGTTATGTACACAATTCTTTTGCTGATTATTTATTGATCTGTTGTATGGATTAGAAAAAATTATTCATTCATAATTTTCTAAATCCTATAGATTAATTTTGATTTTGCTCAAAAGTTCTTATATATAATTTTGTATGACATCTTTTATTTTGATTAACAATATTAAAAAAAAAAGAATAAATTTTCTCTTGTAACAAGTAATAATGAAATTTGATTTCTCATTAGCCAAATAATCTTATTATTTTAATTCTTTTTTATTTAAATAAAATTCTTTGTCTTTTCTTTTGCAAGATCATAAAACATATTGATAACATTGAATCAGGATTATTGCTAGTAGAAATCGAATTCATTTTATTTATTTTTCTTCTTTTTCATTCTTTTATTCGTTCTTTAACTTTATATTAGAGAAATCATGGAGGAGGCATTAAGTCGAGATTTAATAACAAACAAAGGAAATCTAATCTTTGTCTTTATTTTATTTTATTGTCAAAAGATGGATAATAAATTGGTAATTATACTGATTTATTTTAAATAAAATAAAAAGATTAATAAAAATTTTTAGATAAAAATTCGTCGAACATTTGCTGTTCAATTAACATTAAAACATAAACTTAAATTAAATATACCAAATAATGATTCATCAGATTCGATATTTGAAATATTTATTAATGAAATGTATAATCAATTAAATAATAAATTAATTAAACAAGATGAACAATTATTAAAAGAAACAAATAGAAACTCACCATTATTTATACAACGAAAACAACTTCAAAAAGATATTGATGATTTTCAAATATTAAATAAACGTCAAAATACACGTGCAATACAACAACTAATTGAACGTATTGAACATATGGCCATGTTTAATAAAAAATATGATACAACTCAAGTTGAATCTACATTACAAACGAATAAACAATCTCAATCAATTATTATTTCAACAATGAAAACTATTTCAGTATCATGTTCTTATCGAGTTAGTTAAACTTTATTAAAAATAAAATCAAATTTTCAATATATTTATTTTCGTTAGGCTTTATGTTGTGAATTAGTTGATCGTCTGAATTGGCCATCAGAATTATTTGCACCTGAATATGATCGATGTTTTTGTAAGACATGTTATCCAATAACATTACCTAATGCTTGTCAAGGTAATATTGGAAATAAATATCCAATAATTATACCAAGAAATTGGATGAAATTTGGTCTTAAAATTGATGAAGTTCAAGCTAAAATTCATCAAATTTGGGTAAACAATAATTTATAGAAATAAAATAAAAACAATTTATTGATAATTTTAAATTAGGATAAATGGGCAATATCATATCATGGTACATTACCTAATGCTGCATTATCAATGATTAAACATCGACAAATTTGTTTACCTGGTGATATACTTCTAGATGGAACAAAATTAACAATTCGACCTGGACATATAAATGAGTATTTATTTAAATAAAAATAAAAGTTCGTAAATATTTTTATATTTAGTCAAAAAGCTTTTTTTACTTCACCAACAATTCGTTATGCAGCACAAAATCATTATGCAACTCCACTTGAATTTACATCACAAATAGATAAATATGTTTATACAGCTAAAATTGTTTTACGTTGTCGTCAAATGCCTAATACATTTACTATTCAAGGTGAAACATTAAATAATTCACAAATAAATGGAACAGATTTTTGTGATATTATACCTGATGAACAAATTGAATGGAAAACTGATAAACGTGGTACAGTTATTTTTGATGGATTATGTATTCGATTAAAACGAGTATCAAATCAAACTCATTTTAATCAAAATAACATTCTTAACTAAAAACAAAAAAAAAGATTTCATTTATCTTTTATTGTTTTAATTCACTTGTTTGATCTGAACCATTTATTCAATTATATTTTACTATTCTTTTTCAATAAATATATATTGAAAGTATCTCTTTAAAAATCATATTATATTCAATTGTATGATATTTCAAAGACAATTGATTACGGTTAAAATAAATGAAAATAATTACCTATAAAGGTAGATGAAGAAAGAAAAAAAAGGTAATTCGTTGTGCATGAAAGCGCATAGTCTCAACATGAGATCATTCACTACTTGAAGAATCATGAGACGAGACAAGAGTGAGATCGAATTAACTGTTTCATCCTTGTTTTTTTCCAATACTAAGAAAAAAAAAAGAAGAGAAAATCAAGTCAACAAGATGATGACAGTGACACCGCACTCCTTACTCTTTTCTCAATGATCAAACGATGCTCTCACCATGCAAATCAACAGGAGTCATACTAACGAACTCATGCCGATTGATGTTCGAGTGAAGAGAGATAGACTAGAGAAAAGATGAAATGATACATCATTTTCAATTAATTCGAACTATAAATATTCTTCTTTTTCTGTCTATTTCGACTCGAGATGAGGCGCCATCTACTGATTCTTTTTTTTTTTCTATTTTGATTACTCTCGCGGGGCATCTCATCATTTTTACATTGTTAAGTGTGTAAATGTATCAATGATTTACGCATTGCTTTCAATTCATGACTCTTGTCTCTTTCGACAAGCATATAGAACACTTGAACATCATCGTCTTACTAAGCGGGATTTCATTTTTTATTCCTTTTGTTCATATACTAATTGATGTTTCGTTTGAGAAGAGAGAACGAGAGAAAGATCAACAGCAACAACAACAATAATAATATTTCCTTTAGAATGTCTGAAAGAAAAAGTCAACTGTTTGCATTTAGCCTTCGGGTACCGCACTCGCGCCCTATAACATCGTCTTCTTCTTATTTTAGTGATGAGTAGATCAACACAAGTCGTTTCCTTCTTTTTTTTTCTTGCCTTGTGCTACTATCACAATGTGTGTGTGTGTGTCTGTGTGTGAAATAATTTACGACTCATGCATGCGCATACACACACCAGATATTCTGTTTCAAGTAGTACAACTAACAGAGAAAGAGAAAAGAATTCTTTTTTATGTTTGTCGATGAGAAATAATTGGCTTCGTCAAACGAACAACACAAACAGTAGAGAGAGAGAGAAAGAAACTAGCAGAAAACGAAGAATTTATGAAAATAAGAAAAATTACTCAAATACAATGTCTAAATTTGAGAGCAAAGAAAAAAAAAAACAACATAAAAGATATTTCATTGATAACAAAATATCAAAATCTTTTTATTATCATGAAATAAACAAAACTAATTATTTATTATTAATTAAATCTTTGATAAAAACTAAATAAAAATTTCATCGAAAGAAATTTTCTTTTTATCTAAAAAAAAAAACTAATATCATTTTATTGATAAGAGAATAAAAATATTGAGATGTTTCTGGAGATAAAAAAAAAAGAAATCAAATTATACAATAGTTTGTGTTGATAGAAAAAAAAAAAGAAAAGAAACGAGAATTTTATATTTGTAAATAAAACATAATTGGTTTTTGTTTTATTTTCAAGAATAATTTACAAAAACTGATTATATATTCAATGAAATCATTAATCGAGCATTTTAAAATCTTAAGAAAATAAACTAGATCTTTTTTCTGTTTTTGTTAAACTATTGAACGATTGACAGATGTGTGATTCACCCGATTTTTTTTTTTCTTTGACCAGACGCCTTGCGTATACAATGGTCGATCGATTTCGGCTTATCGTTGGTGAATACACACACACACACACGCGTACATAGTAGCCGAACAAACGTATGTGTGTGTATGTGTACACGTTTCAATATTGATGTAATCAAATCTCAGCTTGACCTTATTCAACAAGCGTCACTATACCAAAATCGACTGGTTTCTTTCTCCTTCTCTTTCTCTCTTTTTTCTTTAGCCTCGTTCTTTTCTCCGGTTCGTCAACGAATATTTTCTTTTCTCTAAACACATTCTCTCGTTTCTCGTTGGTTGTCATCGAACTACACATACATATTATAACAAACGAGAAAACGCGAGCGGCTGTCTCATTTTTGTTCTTTATCATCATCACTCGTTTTTTTTCTATTCGCACGACTAACCATCATTCATTCGTTATTTAAAAAAATAAAAGAAGTAGTGTCTTTCTCTCTGTCTCGGTCTGTCTGTGTCTTTGTCTCTCTCTCTCTCTATCAATATGCATCTTCTTTAACACGTCGCATTAAACAGAACGTCATGATTGAACGTTTATTAGCATCAACTCCTCCAACACAAATAACAGAACTTATTACTGAACCACAAGAGGTATCCAAGATTTTTCCAAAACAAAACATTCTCTTATATTTATTTATTTATTTATTAGTTAACTTCAACATCATTAGTTGATTATGATATTGTTGGAAATAATACATTAATATTAGGTGAAAAAAATTGTGTATCATGTAGTTTAATAATAAAAGATGAAAGTTATTTACGTGTACATAAACATGGAATATTTCATGAAAATTGTTTAACATGTTATATATGTCATCGACCATTGATTACAATTGGTGGAGGTTATTTTATACGAAATGGTTATGATCAACAATCACATTTTATTTGTCGACATGATTATCAAATTGCTAATAACAATAAGTGAGTAAAATGAAATAGCCTTGATCATTAAAAAATATTCTTTTTATACATTTTTTTTTTCTTTTCGAATAAATGTTTCAATGTGAAAAATGCATTCATGCGTAGACAGTTACAATTAATTATGAAGAAAAACGACATATCTATGAAATAGATTGATATGTGAGAGAACACGATAGTTGTCATTTAATGTCGTGTGTCGTAAATTGAAAAGTGTCGAGTAGTATCATACAAATGACTTATCGATTGCTTGTTAGAGATTTTTTTTCTTTTTCGTTTTTTCTCATCACACCTGTTTTGTCTTATCATCGATTGATCGGAAAGGCTTCATTTATTCTATTGATCTGTCAGAGCTTCTTTCTTTGACTCATTCATTTTTTCCAGCATCATTATCTGTGAACAGTCGCGTTTTTTTGTCAATCATCCGCGTCTAGTACACTATTGAACACATATCAAATCACTGATATAATATGTTGCTGCTGCTGTTTCAAATGAAATTTTTTTTGTTTTCAAGAAATAACGATAATTCTCAACACAGTTGGGGGTATTCGAAAGTAAAACTATTGACCTGCCTGAAGCAGCAAAATAAGTAAATCACTTGTGAATAGAAATAAAAGATTATTATCGAAAAAAAAAAAAAAAACCTATACGATGAACAATATTAGTCATGGGGGGTGACAAACTAACATCGATTTGCTTCAAGGGAAAAAACAACATAGATCGAAAGAGATCAACTGTAAAATAATTTGTGGATTTTACTGTTTTTTTTTTTTGTTATATAAAAGGTCTTATCAAAATTCATCTTGTTCAATGTATCTTCCACAATGTTCAAAATGTCAAACAATAATTTCAGCAAATGAATTAGTTATGCGTACAGATGATAAATATATTTATCATATTGATTGTTTTACATGTTGTTTATGTAATGTTGTTTTAAAACCAGGCGATGATTATGGTTTACATGGTTCATTATTATTTTGTCGTTTACATTTAGAACAAACAACTAATACAACATTTTCATTATGTTCACCAATTAAAAATTTATCAACAACAAATATAAATATTAAAAAATCTCGACAAAATAGTACAACAACACAACGTAAACAACGAACAAAATTAAATAATCTTGAAAATAATACAAATAATTTAGAAATAACAGGTAATTAATTAAATTTTAATTAAAAGAGAATAATAAAAAAATTGTTTTTAAAGCTTTTTTAAATGGAAATGATCTTTCTAATTCTGATGGAAATTTTTCATCAACAATATTTAATAATCAAACAGTAACAAATCCACAACAACGTACAAAACGTAATCGAACATCATTTAAACATCATCAATTACGTATTATGAAAACATTTTTTGCTCAAAATCATAATCCAGATTCAAAAGGTTTAAAAATTTTATCACAAAAAACTCAATTAAGTAAACGTGTACTTCAGGTTATTATTTTTAAATTTTATTTTTACCTTTTAAAAAATTTGTTTTTTCTTTTTATTATTTTATTTAGGTTTGGTTTCAAAATGCTCGAGCTAAATTACGTCGTGGTTTACTTCAAGAACAAGAAAATAAACAACAAAAAGCATCAACATCAATTGATAATACAAATTCATCAACAAATGATTTTTTACAATTAATAAATGATGATGATATAACAAGTGGAACATCGAATGATCGTAGTAGAACAGAAGATGAAGAAATTATTGATGAACTAGATGATTATGACAATAATCAAAATAGTGATTCATCGTCAACTATAAATACACATGAATTTAATCATCTTATGCCGCCTTATTCAATGTACCCACTTTTGTGATATTTTTTTTTCTTTTTTCTTTATTATTAAACAGCAGCAGCAATCCAACAGAGTTCAATCGATCAAATATTTCTCTCGTCTTCTTCATTTCTCGTTCTACTTTGCTTTATATATATATATATATATTGTTTTTCCATATGTTTGATGCTTGTTGTTAGTATTCATATACGAATCAGATTTATGAATATCTATGTGTGACACAATGTGCGATGATGTGGACAAGATAAGCGTTGAATCAATAGAACAAGAGAGATTCAAACATGCATACTTATCGTTTACTAAAGTATGAAGAAAAAAAAAAAAAAAAACGAGAAGATCGAACTTCCTTTGTTATATATCAATAGAAAAGGCCAATTAATGGGTGGGTCATTGTCGTCAACGGATGTATGTTTCGAGATTTATACAAAAGAAATTATTTTAGGGCGGATTTATGTTTTTTTTTGCCATTTATTTGATCAATTTTTCAATATAATAAAAATACAAAACTTTTTTTTTTTGCTGACGACGATATTTCATGTTCATTCATCTTAATATAATCTTCCTGTCGACTTATCTTCTCTCTACTTGGCATTGCATGTTAGTTTCATACACCGTCTCCTGCTGTGCTATACGATCATGCTCACTGTCAACGGCACTACTGCTGTTGTTTTCTTTTTTTTGCTATACTATTGTATATGTAGAAAGTTGAGAGTAACCCTATTAGATTGAAGGCACGTGTGTGTGTGCTCACATTCGTTTTTTTTTTGTGTCTCTTTTTTTTTAATTGAACTAATTGCAGGAAGGAGTGAACACGCAAACGAGTCAGGTATAAAAGAAAAAGAGCAATTCAACTTTTAAAACAAAAAAAATGAAATTTTCTTAGTTAATGTCAATAGTTAGAAAATAAAGAACAATTGAAATAGAAGAATACTATTGGGTATTCTTTGATGATGAGTCAATTGATTATTCTTCATCTACTTCTTTTTGTTTCTCGAGAGAGAGAATGAATTTAGGTGCTATGTCATCACCTTGATCTTACTCTTCGTTGAACGTGTCAATGTCGGGACTTTGTATGCAGATGATCATCAGAATAATAATTAGTAATACAAGAAGAGTCGATCTTTCTATAGATTGTCCGTTTTTATTTGTCCTGGAACGTGAACAATAATTGAATATGATCTAAATGGAGTAGCTGGAGAGGAGGAGTATATATATTGACTATCATTGAAGTGATAAACGAGTCTAGTCTAATAATATTATTATTAAAGACTATGACGCCATAAATAAACATTGACATTGGAATAAATATGTGAGAAAAAGAAAACGAGAGAGAGAGAGAGAGAGAGAGAGAGAGAAGAAACCTTTTCTGTTATTCTTGATCTTGCTGGGCGGGTAACAGAGAAATTGACATTCCACCTGCACTAAACTAAAGGTCAATACTTGGATAGTAAAGATAAATATATGCTGCTAATTTGCCAAGAATAATAACATGAACTACCAGCACAACTGTTGATTGTCTATAGACAATAAAAACTCTATTTGGTCTTTTATCGATGAGAAAAAAATAACATTCATAAATATTCTTTCTTTTTTTTTTCTTAAAACTCAAATAGGCACAAATATATGCTGCACATTAATGAATGACTAGAAGAAAAAGTTCTGTTTTTTTTTTCAACGGAGTCGTTTTTTTTTCTTTTATGTTTGATTTCTATACAACATACAAACTAAACATTGATATGAAAAAAAAAGAAAAAAAGAAAACAAACGAACAAAAAGCAATACTCTACTACATGGAACCATATGTTTCCGATTCGCTGAAATTCACCGATGATGTCTTTGAACGAATTGATTCAGTTGGTGAAGATAAATTTGATGAATTTGTTGTATCTTCTCTTGTTGGATGTACATCAATCATATTTGTCATTGTTAAAGATGTTTGATTTATTTGAGATTGTTGTTGAGTTTGTTGTTGCTGTTGCTGTTGTTGTTGTTGTTGTGGTATTGATGAATGTTGAGATGTTGATGATAATGTATCACTTCGAGATACACTTCGACGATATTTTGCACGTGCATTTTGAAACCATACTTGTAAAACACGTTTTGGTAAATTTGTTTTTTCTGCAAGATTTTTTAAATCTTTTGCATCTAAAAATTTTCAATATTAATAAAAACAAAAAAAACAAAAAGAAAAGGAAATTCTCAACCTGGATTATGATTTAAATTAAAATATGATCTCATACAACGTAATTGATGATGTTTAAAACTTGTTCGTACACGTTTTTGTCTTGTATGATGATGATGATGATGAGATCCACTTGATAAATTATTATTATTATTTGTTTGATGAGAATGTAAACTATTATTATTTGTACTATTTCCATCCATATCAACAACATCAACATAATATGATGAATCTAATGATGGTGTGAACAATGATCCATCATTTCCAACTAATAAAAAGAAAAAAAAGAAAATATTTTCAAAATTGGTCACTCAACAAAATTCTATATTCGATATTGAACATGAATTTTCAAGTATCCCACCCCGTATAATAATCGATTGAACAGCAGTCTATAATCCTTATTTAAGCTTTTCAAGAGATATTCTCACTTCAATGAATATGTCTGTCAATCATTTCGAAAACAAAAAGAAAAAACGGTTTAATTGAAGCAAAAAAAACGAAAAAAAGAAAAAAAACAAACTCAAAATATACCCATATTAGATGAAGATGGTGAAAGAGTTAAGAAATGATCTGATGATGGCATTATATCATGATGTTGTTGACGTTCTTTACGTTTTCTTGTACGTTTTGTTATATTTATTGTTGTTCCTGTTGATTGATTTGTATTTGTTGGTGGTGTTGATGGAATAAGTGTTGGGATTGGTGATGTATAATAACCTGAATCATCAAGAAAACCGGTTGGAACTGAATTTGTATGTGAAAGTGATGCATTTTCAATACCAATATCAATTACACGTCCTGTTAAATGTGTTTCATATGATTGTTGTTGTTCAAAAAAATGATGACGACAATAAATTAAATCATCTTTTAAACCAAATTCATCACCTTTTATATAGAAAATAAAAGATAAAAATAATAAAAACAAACAAATAAAATTACCTGGATGAAGAAGAATATTACAAGTAACACATGTAAAACAATCCAAATGAAAAATAAACTGTTTAGCACGTAGAATAACTTCATCTTGTCGAATAATTGTATGACATCGTGTACAAACACGAGAACAATATCTTCTAAAAAAAAATAGTTTTAAAAGAAACAATGAAAAGTAAAAAAAAAAACCTAACATACTTAATATAATCATCTTTACAAAAAATTTGTCCATATCGTGCAAAACATGTTCGTTCTTGTTCAAGTGACATACCACAATCAAAACATTTTAAACAAGATAAATGCCAACTTCTATCAACAGCCATTAAATAATATCGATCATCAATCAATTGACGACATCCATAACATACTGTCAACATATTATCTAATGTTGGCATTACTTTCTACAAAATAACAAGTCTATTGGTAATTTTAATGTAAAATGAGGATGTCTAGTTTCTTCTTCTTTTTTTTTTTTTTTTGTGTATGTGTTATCTTTTTAGACGGATGTAATACGAGAGATTCATTCTTCTACTTGTCTGAGCAATTAGTTGAGAATAAAGAAATTGTAGGAGGAGGAACACGACAAACTTTCTTTAGACTCATATAGATCTATAAACGGATGTATAAGATCATTTTTCAAAAAAAAAAAAAGAAGAAGAATATGAAGAAAAAGAGAGAGAGAAAAGGATAGAGAGAAAAGGATAGATGGATGGATATCCGGAAACTTTTTTCTTTTTTATCTCAAATATTTCTACCTACTCTTTAAGATGAGAGACAATATTTCTTTTTATCAATAGGTATATACATTTAGTCACACGAATGTCTTGTCAAATGTCAAATAAGAAAAAAAAAAAGAAAATTGATAATGATCGTATGGCACCGGTTTATACTATTTGAAGTCAATTGAACTTATGTCAAATATTGAATTTTCTTCTATGTTAAACATACAATCATTAGAAAGAAAAGGAAAGAGCGAAATATTGTTTTGTTTTTTTTTTTTTTTGTGAAAAAAACGAAATCAGTAGGAAGATTTGCTTATATAAACAAACAGCATGCTCGTGTGACCTAACATCAAATAAACAACATCAGTTCGAAGTTATGGATCATATTTTTATTCGTTCTCATCACCACCCTGTGAGATCTTCAATATTCGTCTAGATATATGTCAAAAAGATTGACTTTCACATTTATTTTCTCTATTTTACCTTTTTCTTCTATATGATGTCAAATCTATAATTTGATGATGATTAGGATCAATGAGTTTGGTCTACAATGCCGACGACGAGTCAAGTATAGACATACATCTGGTTATGCTTGTTCACACTCAACAAGACCAATAACATACATAACGGAGAGAGAAAGAGAAAGAGAGAAAAAAATAGCAAGAAAGAAATTTTTGCATTAGCGTTTTTTTATTAACCAATCAAAATAAATCTCTCTCTGGGTTTTCTTTCCTCTCTCTTTCTCTCTCTTTATATGAGGAGAAAAAAGAGGAGGAGAAAAGGAAGATGAAGAACAGTTGTGCTTCTTACTCACACACCTGTTATAACATGTCATTCGCTTTACCACAAGCAAAGTTCACATAGCATAGCAATTGTAGTGTAAAATGTTTTGACAGATACGGTAGTGATGTGCTATATGGATATTGATATGTGATGGTGATCAATTGTTTTTTCTCTTTTCTCCTTTTTGCTATGTAGAAATATGTGTGAACGAGAACGAAAAAAAAGTGTTGACGATATGAGAAGCCGTTCATATATATATATATATATATATATTGATTTATGAGAAATGAAGTAATGTTGCTATTGACCATATAACGATAGAGATAAATAGAAAGTGAATTAGGTCATTCACATATTAACATTCTTGTACTAGTCATATTATAATATGGAATATAGAGAGA